TTTTTTTTGCAGCAATTGAAAGGCGAGTTGAATTTACATTGCAAATCCTCATATAACAAAGCCGGAGTTTATTTAAGAGAAGGGGGGAAGGACCCTACGGCTCAAAGCCTTAAAGCAGTTTTCCAGGCCGTTACTTTGTGTGCAGAGCCTGGTGTGCGATCGGCGGAAGCCCTACAAGTTGGAGAAAGGGAGATCTCGCTTTGCACAAAACACAGCGTGACACTCGGTTTCTCCGCCATCCGTCAGTACATTTATGAAGACTTTGGTCCTTTGACTAATAAAAGAGGAAATGTTACTGCTAAAAAAAAAGTAGTCGGCGGGCATAACATTCAGAGGGAGCGCTGCCTCTTTGTATCAATCCCACACTTCAGACCAAAAATGGTTACGAAAAGCAAGCTGTCGCGGTTTGCGGTTTAATTTAGGAGGTGCCAGGAGTGCAAAAAAAGTAAAGTGCACCTCAGAAACTCCAGCTGCAGCCCTGCTCGGACGGGGCAGAGCGGCCGCGGCGAGCCGAGCAGGGGCAAAGGGCTGCTTCGCTGTAAGGACTGGAAAACCCGTCCCTGCTACGAATTAAAATATTTTCCCCCGTTACTCCGGAGAGCGCACGCAACGACATCGATTAGACAAACGTGTAACTCAGCCTGGCCAGCACGGCACCCGGCGTTACGGGTGGGTTTACAGGGAGCCTCGGAAGGGTCTCTACAAGCAAGGGGTGGCAGGGAAGGGGCAGGGGGAAGCAGCGTCTTTCTCTTGCCCAAAGCCAGGGTCTGTCCCGGTGCGGGTCCACGCTTGCCGGGAGTCCCTTTCAAAGAGTGCCAGCTCCTTTCTTACCGTTTCTCGGCCGTTCATCTGTCCCCCTTTGGCCAGGCGGGACTCGGTCTTGGATCGCCTCTCCATCTCCTCCATGATTCCTTGGATATGGCCTCCGGAGATCCCGTGGAAAAGCATGGCTGGGGGACGGAAAGGACAAGTATTTTCTTCTGCTCTGCACCCCACTATTTCCATATACAGACCCCAGAGTCTTTAGATCATCCAAAATGTTTACACCGAGGCGCACAGCGCAGGGAGGGAGGTTGCAATAGGAGCTTCTCTTTGCACAAGCACCGAGGGCTTCCTGAAGATGTGCGGAAAACAAACAAGGGGGAGAAAATGTAATAATAATTAATTTTAAAAATAAAATAACAAAAGCGAGCTAAAGGATCTGTTACTGTTCTGGAGAGCTGGGGCTCCTGACTGGAGAGACTTGGACCTGGGGCAGTAGAATCGGTCGGGAAAGGATATAGTTTTGAATACAAAGAAAGCAAAAAGAAGTGCTATTTTCAGCAGTCCCTGGTTGCTTTAAAGTTCCCAGTGCCTGTAGGTTGGATTTGGGACTGCTGCTTTCCGGAGCTCTGTCCAATTTGTTAAGAGACTAAAGCCAGCCCATTTTTGATAATTGAGTGGGAGGAGTTCTCTCCCGTGAGCTGCCACTGATTTTTATTCAGACAACAAAGACCTGTCATACTCCTCTCAACCCCTAGTGATGGGCAAGCAGTGACAAACATTACAGTCGGGGCTGTGGGTGGGGTGGGCTTTATTACCTCCCCCAAAACACGGAGTCCCGGGAGTCGGCGGGGCGACGGCGCCCGGCGAGGGGCAGGGT